CAGCACCTTAATCACCATACCACCTGCTGGTCCCTGGAAGAGTATTTTCAAAAACCTACCTCTGGGGCCAGCAGGTGGCATAATGGTTAGGGCTCTGGACTCCTACATAGCTGACTGACCATGGTTCAAATCCTAGACCAGACTTTCTTATTATTTTCCCTCTTTTTTCTTTCGTATTTTCTCTCTCTCTCTCTCTCTTCTCTCTGAGTACACATGCCATATGGCAAATAAAAAGTAATACTAGTAATACATAAAATTAAATAAATAATTCTTTAATGATGAACCTGCCTCTGGGTCCTACAGAGTCTCTGTCTCTCCAGTGAGCGCGTGCACCCTATAGCAAAAATCTCTCCAAACAAAGCAAGATAAAAACCTGCCTCTGAATGCCTTAAGGAACCGTGCACATCCCTGTGGCCTCCGCACACCTGCTTAATTTCTACCTAATGCTTCTTCCTATTAAATTACCGGCCGGGCCCCTGGGGGCGGTGAGTTAGAGAACGTGGCCCTTGCTCTGGGGAACACCAGCTCTCAAGGGAGGCCGAGAGCTAGAAAAAGCCACAGGAGCAGAGCAGCCGGGAGCGGGGGAGCTTGGGGAGCTGCCTCCCTGCGCTGCCAGGAACACATTTTCCAGGCTGGAGCCTCTGAGCTTGGCCTGAGCCAGCCCGTGATGCCAGACGAGGGGCCACTGTGTTTGGGGCTGGGCAGGCCATTGCTGATCTTATCAAGAGCAGTTTAGTGTCAGCGGCCACACGGAGGACGGCAGGTGGGAGGTGAGGTGCGGGAAGGCTGCCAGCGAGTCCAGTCACCGTGGAACGGGTCTGGACCCGCATCTGCTGTGGCAGTCACTGGCCACATGTGACTCCTGAGCACTTGAAATGTGCCAGTGCCACCAATGAACCGAATTTTTAATTTAGTGGATTTTAATTTAATTTAAATGTATTAGAGTGTAAGGAGCCCTGGGCCAGGGGGTGGGTCAGTGGGAATGACTGGGCCCACATGGGAAAGGTCCTGGGTTCACGTCCTGGCACCTCCTTGACACACGTGCTTGTGGTCTGAACCAGCAAGACTGGGGGTGCGTCGTGACGTGAAAAACCCTTTGGGATGGCTCTCTCCCTCTTTCCATTCCTTCCCTTATTATGGAAGAAATAAATGTGTTACAAAAAACAGAATATAGGAACCAGCAGATGGTGTAATGGTTATGTCGCTGGACTCCCATGGAGTCAACCGCAGTTCGAGTCCTGGACCCGATGACTTAAAACTCATGCCTGGTACAAGTGTGTGTGTGCCCAAGATCTGGAGAGGAAAATGGAGAAGGGATTGTAACATGACCATGCCCCCGAGGGGTGATTTCTCGCTTTCTGTTTCTCTGTCTCTGTCTCTCTGGCGAGTGCACGTGCCCTATAGCACAAATCTCTCTCTAATAAAAAAAAAAATGGAATATGAGGAGCACCACGGATGTAAAGAGGCCACGTGAACCGGCCCCATGTCAGGCAGCGCGGGCTCTGGGCCACTCCTTGAGGTTTTGCTCAGAACTGGTGGGAGGAGCTGGAAGAAAACGAGGCCACGGGATGTCGCTGCGATGCGGAAGGACAAGGGATAGACGGAGGCTTCCGGGCCCTGGAGTCCGGACGGAGAGGACTCGCTCTCACTGTAGTTCTCGCCGTGCGAGGGGCTGAGTGTGCTGGCCACCCCATGGGGACTGACCAGCCATCCTTTCAGTGTCCACAGCTTTTTTCTATTTATTTATTTATTTATTTATTCGAGTGTGCTGGCCACCCCACGGGGACTGACCGGCCATTCTTTCAGTGTCCAGAGCTTTTATCTTTTTCTTTATTTATTTATCAGGTTTTGGCCATCGGGTGAATGCACTCGCTGAAGAGAGACAGGGAAAGTGGGCTTGCTGCACGCACGGCTGGTGTGATTGTCAAGCAGCTGGGTCCGGGACTTGAACCGCGGTTGGCCATGGGGCAGTCCAGTTCTTTAACCACTCTGGCACCTGCCGGTCCCTCTTCACAGCTTTTGCCAAAGTGCATGTACCACCTGTTGTGTCATTTCCCCAACGCTGGTCACTCGGTTTATGGTTTATGGAAACACGGATCCCCCTGCTCTCTGCGTTCCCTCCTGAACGAGGGGCCACACGTTTTCAAATGACTCCCTCCTCCATCCCCCTGTGATTCCCTTTGAACCTCAGCCACATTCAGATAGCAGGGGGACTCGGACATTTACTTTAGGGGGCAAGGTTTGTGCGGGGTCTCTATAAATGAAAAACCTGAGGCCCACTGTATGACTTCGTGCTTAGTCAGCCCCGGCAAGGATCCGTGCAGCCGAATCCCAGCCCCGGTGGCTTGAGAAACACGCTGGGCACATGTGCGTGCGTGCCCAAGAGCAAGGGCGGAAGAGGGGTTGGGCTGTGACCGAGCCCCACTGAGGGGTGCTTTGTCTCTCTCTGTCTCTCTGTCTCTCTCTGGAAGGTACACACACCTTCTGGCAAAAGTAAAAAGAAATAAATAAAATGGAAAACGTGTTCCATTTGTTACCAAGAGTGAAAGACAAGCCACAAAAGACAAACGTGATGAAAAGTTTAAAAAGAGGTTTACTGGGCCAGCAGGTAGCGTGGTGGTGAAGGCATTGGCTCTCACATGGCCGTCCGGGTGGTTCAAGTCCTGAACCCGGCGGTTTGAAGTCACTCAGGGCGTGTGTGCGTGCGCGTGTGTGTGCATGAGTGTCCAAAATCCCGAGAGGAGAATGGGGGAGAAGGAACTGAGGGGAGGCCATCCCCCCTTGAGGGGTGATTTCTCACTTTCCCTCTTTATGCCTTTCTCCAAATGCACGGGTTCTAGTGCAAAACTTAGAAATCAATCAATCAGCAAATGCACGGGCTCTAGTGCAAAACTTAGAAATCAATCAATCAGTCAAAAGAGGTAGCAGCTGCGAGGCCGTGCAGACCTGCCAGCACTCAGCTGCGCCTCTGTGGGTGGCAGTGCTCGAAGTGGGAGGGGGTGACTCTCACTGTGTCCCTCGAGGCCCTTTAAAGCTCCCTGTGAAGCTGGGCCTGGAATGCACGCCCGTGTCATGGCATCAGTTAGCTACTCCCCGGCTCCCGAGGCTCTGTGGAGCCAGCTGCGCTGTTGTCTTTTCATCCGAGGAGGAAATTTAGTCTTAGAAAGGGAGAGCCAGGGGCCAGCAGGTGGCGTGGTGGATAAGGTGCTGGATTCCCACATGGCTGACCACGGTTCAAGTCCTAGACCCGGTGGCTTGCTTTCTCACTTTCCTTCTCATGGTTAAGTGCGTGTGTCCTATAGCAAATAAAATAGTAATAATAATAATAATAAAATTAAATAGGTCATTCTAATAAAAAAAGAAAGAAGGAAAGGGAAGCGATTTGCCCAAAGACACAGCAGCCTTCGCTGCAGCACAGAAACTCCAAACAACTCTCTGGAATCTTCCTTTTCATGTTGACGTTCTTGAGCCACTGCAGTGTCCTTGGGGTGGGGGAGACTGTAGTGGTTTCTGAGCCGCTGTGGGGGCTGCATGGACTCCGACGCCCCCTCTGCACAATCGCGCCACTTCTGCGGGCCGCCGGGGTCAGCGGGCCGCGCTGGGCTCACGCTACACCCTCGCACCCCCAGAGGCACCTTGTGCCAGTGCGGGCGCCCTCGGCCCACCCACGGGTCAGTGGCTGTGGAGGATGCCTTCGGGGCGGCCGTGGTGACAGTGTGGGACAGCGACGCACACACCACAGAGAAGCCCACTGACGCCTACGGGGACCTGGACTTCCTGGGCGCCGGCCGCAAGCCCAGCAATGTGAGGCCTACGCGGTGGGCAGGGCCGGGGTCAGCTCCCGCGGTGGCGGGGCGCCCGGCTGAACGCTGTCTCCCATCTGCCCGCCCCTGCCTTCACTTCTGGGTCTCTCCCCCATCCTTGTCTGTGGGGTCTCTCTGGGTCTCTGGTCTCTGTTCCCCTGTCTCGGAGTCTCTGTCTTCCTGCCCCCGGTGTCTGTGCTCCTCTCTCTGGCTCTCTGTGTCCCTCTCTTTGGGTTTCTTTTCTCCTTCCCCGGGTCTCTGTCCTCCTCTCTCTGGGTTTCTCTCCCCTTCTCTCTGGATTTCTGGACCCCACTCCTGGCTCTGGGTCTCTGCCTCTCTGTTTCTCTGGATCTCTGTTCCTCTCTCTGCATCTCTGCCCCTCTATTTCCCTGGTCTCTGCTCTCCTCTCTCTGGGTCTCTGCCCCTCTCTTTCACTGGTCTCTGCTGGGTCTCTGCCCCGTCCCCTCCCCCCCTCCCCGTGTCCCTTGTCCTGTGTGTCCACAGTTCCTTCGGCTCTCTGACCGCACGGATCCAGCTACAGTTTATAATCTGGTCACACGCACATGGGGCTTCCATGCCCCAAACCTGGTGGTGTCTGTGCTAGGGGGGTCGAGGGGCCTTGTCCTCCAGACCTGGCTGCAGGACCTGCTGCGACGAGGGCTGGTGCGGGCTGCCCAGAGCACAGGTGACCGAGGGCGGGTGGGGACTGTCCCCAAGCCAGAAGGCCATCTCCCCTACTGCTCTGATGCCCCTCCCCATCTCTCTGTGTCTTTGTGTCCCTCTGTCTCCATGTCTCTCTGTCTCTGTGTAGGGGCCTGGATTGTCACTGGGGGGCTGCACACAGGCATTGGCCGGCATGTTGGCGTGGCTGTGCGGGACCACCAGACGGCCAGCACCGGAGGCGCCAAAGTGGTGGCCATGGGCGTGGCCCCCTGGGGTGTGGTCCAGAACAGAGACACCCTCATCAACCCCAAGGTGCGCCCCAGGGCCTGGGGAAGGGAGGGTGCTGAGGGCCTGGACCCCTGGGTCTGGGGGAGGAGGAGCTGGGGGCCTGGACCTCTGGGTCTGGGGGAGGCGAGTTGGGGGCTGCACCCCTGGGTCTGGGGAGGAGGCCTGTGTCTGGCCCGGTCCTGGCAGGACCTGTCTGGCCCGGTCCTGACAGGACCCCCCCCCTTCTGCCGTCTGTCCCGCAGGGCTCATTCCCTGCAAGGTACCTGTGGCGTGGGGACCCCAAGGACGGGGTGCAGTTTCCCCTGGACTACAACTACTCGGCCTTCTTCCTGGTGGATGACGGCACCCACGGCCGGCTGGGCGGCGAGAACCGCTTCCGCGCGAAGTTCGAGTCCTACGTGGCGCAGCAGAAGACGGGCTTGGGGGGTGAGTGGCTCCTTGGGCCGCGACCCCTGGCCCATCACTCTGCAGCCCCGCGGTCTGGTCTGGTCGAAATTCGGGGAGTTTTCTATGATCAAGTGTTTGTTCCAACCCTTTCTATGTTTTCGAAAGTCTGTCCCGAACTTCACATGCATGTGGGAAAACGCACAGAAGTGGGGAGTGGGGTGGACTGTTGTCACGGAACCCACCTGCAGTCCAGGCCAAGAGGCTCGCTGTCACCGGCCCCCAGAGGCCCTCCCCTTCCCCACCCCGGGCCCCACGCTCCTGAGTCTAGCGGTCGTGAGTAGTCCCCGCCTGTAATCTGTGAGCAGAATAGCGTCTGAACAGCTTCGTGCCTGGCCTGTTAGACCTGCCCTCATTCCTGTGAGATTTATCAGAATCATTGCATGACCTGTAATTTGCAGATAACCCAATAAGAAGAAAAAAGGAAATTAGAAAATGGTTTGAACTGAAGGATAGTGAATATATAATATTCCAGTGCTTTGGGGATGCAACAAAAGCAATGCTTAGAAGGAAAATCGTAGATTTAAATAAATGCATATAACACAAACAGAAGAAAAGCTGAACACTGATTTCAGTTCCCGATGTTAAGAAAAAAAATGGGGTGGGGGAGCCAGCAGGTGGCATGATGGTTAAGGCAGCTGAATTCCCATGTGGCCGACTGCGCTTCAAGTCCTGGACCCAGCAGCTTGCTCTCTCACTTTCTTTCTCTCTCTCTGTCTCTTTCTGGTCAACCTCAAAATAAAAAATAAAAAAAGACAATACAGTTAAATACAAATTATTCTTAAAAAAAAAATAATAGGACCAGCAGATGGCATAATGGTTACATTACTGGACTCCCATGTAGTCTAACTATGGTTCGAGTCCTGGACCTGGTGGCTTAAATCCCATGCCAGGGACCAGCAGTTGGCATAATGGCTATGTCACTGGACTCCCATGTAGTTGACTGCGGTTTGAATCTTGGACCCGGTGGCTTAAACTCACACCAAGTGTGTGTGTGTGCGTGCCCAAGATCCCGAAAGGAGAATGGAAGAGAAAGGATTGTGGCGTGGCCATCCCCCCCTGGGAGGTGATTTCTTGCTTTCTCTCTGTCTCTCTCTGTCTTTCTGGCAAGTGCACTTGCCCTATAGCAAAAACCTCTCAAAAAAAAAAACCTAAAAAAAAAGAAAAACTAGAGGGGCCAGCAGGTGGCATGGTGGTTAAGGGCACTGGACTCGCACATGGTCGACCACAGTTTGAATCCTGGACCTGGTAGCTTGCTTCCTCACTTTCCGTCTCTTGGTCTCTCTTGCTCTGTCCCTCTCTGGACAAATTTTAAAAAATATATATAAATAAAATAATTCTTTCAAAAAAAACCTAGAAACAGAACAGCAAATCAAATCTAAGGGAAGTAGAAGCAAGGAAAAACCAAGACAAGGGCAGAAATCAATAAAATAGAAATTAATGTTGGATGGAGAAAATCTAATAAATAAAAAGCAGCATCTTTGTAAATGTTTTTCTGTATTTAAAAGAATAACTTGGGAGGGACCAGCAGGTGGTGTCGTGGTTAAGGCACTGGACACTCCCACATGCCGACCACGGTCCGAGTCCTGGACCTGGTGGCCTGCTTTCGTACATTCTCTCTCTCTCTCTCTCTGGTTAAATTAAAATAAATGAATAAATAAAATAAAA